AATGCAGGCCTCCGGATGAAAGATACCTTTTTTTCTTCCTTTTGTGAAAGATTTATTTATTATAGCAAAAATAATAGTGTTGCCTAACTATGACATTACCTTGAAGCCTTTACCACTCCCGACTAAGCAGCTGGCTGTCAGAGTGTTCCCCTGAAGCAGTGGGGCTCAGCAGCAGATGGTGGTAACAAGCCTGCTGATGCATTAGCCTGTTGTATGGTGCACATCATGTTGAGTCCTGACCCTCAGAGGCACTGCAGAGGAAGGGCAAGGCTCTGGCAGGAGCTTTTGAGGACATTTCTCTGATCCGCTGATAATTTTGGTAGGGTTTTTTTATGCTTTTATTCCTAGCTTCGTATCAGGTGTGTGCCAACCAAACTGCAAAGAATCTGGCTTTATTCACAAGTCCCAGATATAATGGCAGTGATGAAAGGAGAGATCTGCGGGCCTTACCTAACGGTGAGGATCCTGGTAGAGGAGGTGGTGTGTGAAACGCAGGTACTAGAGCCTCAGTACGTTAAAGGAGATTTTCAGCAGTATTGGTTTGCTTGAATGTAGTGGTCAGTGGTTGGTTTCCTGTGCACTTCACTTTGAGCACTCTAATAAGGAATGACATTAGCAATAATAGCAGAGGTCTTTTTGTTTGCAGTGGTGCTGGGCACCCTGGCAGGATGCTACAATGGCACAAGAAGCCAGAGAGGAAACTGCTGATTAGCTTTTTGCAGCTTGAAGGTATTATTGTAATGATCTGCAAGCTTGTTTCGTAGTCTTCTGGCTCAAGAGAGAGACATCCGTTGCTGTACCACACCTTCTGGCTAGAAGGAAATTGAGCTGTTCGTTCTGTTATGGGAAGGGCAGATGCTTGCTTTCTGTTCAGAGGAGACCGGAAATTACACCTGGACTTCAGCTGCTGATTAAACATACAGCTGTGGTCAAGCTAGCAGATTAGAGGGGTTTTCCTGCAGCAGTTGGAGATATTCTGCCACAGATTGAGGTCAGTCTCTCACTATGTATGGCTCAGAAATCGGTAACGATATGCACGTTTCCGGGCAATTAGTGCTGCTATTGGTATTGCTCTTCTGCTCGTTCATATACTCAAATTGAGGAGCTGTTACAACTTGCACATCACCGCACAAGCACTCAGGCACAGCAAAGTGTTGGTCTTGCCTGGGTGGGCTTAGCTGCAACAGTGCGGTTTGATGAAGGTTGGCTTGTGATGCTGTGAACTGCTGTTTGTCAAAAGTCTGGTTTTACCAGCTGCAAATCTGAGCCTCCAGTTTTCTTGCGTCCAGTATGACTACCATCTTCTTAACTCTACTTTTCTCTCTTTCTTCCTCTCTAAACTCAGGCTAATCACCCTGCAGGGCTGTTTTGAGGTTTAGCACTAATTAGTCTTTTAGTATATGTGTTTGAATCGTGCAGAGACACAGTGAGTCACTGGGTGACTAGGACACCACAGTGACAGTCCTGCCACTATGTGCTGTGCTCACCTTTGCATTCTCACAGCTAAACTTCTCTGGCTGTTTAGGGACTGAGGGAACCGGCTCCATTTTCAGATGAAGTGGAAATCGATTACAGCAAACCATACATCAGAGTAACATATGAAGAAGCGATGAGAGGGACCCCATGTAAGTAAAAAAACAGACTGGAAGAGGGTTGTATAAATGTTGGGTTTTGAGGGGGCGGGTATGATTTTGATACATCTGAGACCAAACCGGCCTTGTGTGTCAGACCAAGTTTGCAGACAGTGACTTAGTTAATGCTTTGGTGATGAGATAACTGTTCCCATGTGAAATTGGGCCTGCCAGTACAACTGAAATTGGAGCTTGTGTGAGGACCCATACCTTCACTAGTAAGACTATTTGAAGCAAACAGGTATTTGTGCTTTAGCTCTTCCTGTGCCACTGACAGCTATAGAGTAGTATCAGAGCTGAACATGATTCTGTACTACTTTGTCTGAAGCAGCTTAAAGTTAAGCACTTTAAAAGTCATCTTTTCTGAAACTTGAAATGGGCGAGTAAAACCAAGATATATCTTTGTCCAGAATGTCCCATTCTAGCCTGGATTTGAATCAAAGTCAGTGTCATTAAACACAGTAGGCCAGCCCCACAACAAGAACGTGCCCTTTTATTCTCTATACCAGGCTGGGAGAAACACTGTTCTCTTTGCAAGTCCAAAGGGGAGGCAGAGGCAGGACTGACTTCTGAAGGATGGCTGCCCTCTCTTGCCAAACAGTGTGCAGACAGTGCTGTCTTACTTGTCCTCTCTGTTATGGCTACAGAGACAATAAAAATGCTTCACTTCTACCTATCTGACTGCTGGTGAGAGATGAACCAGCTCAGATTGAGACCTGGCAATGGTTTCCTGCCAGAGGTTCTGGAAATCCAATGCATTTCACAGTCCGCATTTCTTTCCCAGCTGAAAGTCTCCAAAGCGTGCACAAAGGTCTCTGATTTCAACAGTGATGGCTCTCCTGCCTGCTAAGACTAAAGTACACTGCATGCTTCCTTGTTGCTGTTTATGCCTGTGCTCAGGAACTGCAGCTGCTGCAGGTATGGAGGAAAAGGGAAGGATGTCCCAGCCAATTTCCAGAACATGATTGTACTTTCATAAAGGCCAGCCAGGACCAGCCCTCTTCTGGCATACAGAAAGCTTTTGCAATCTCAGATCTCCAGATCCTTGGCCCTCCAGAACCTCCTGGCATCTTCAGACTGAGGTGGTTTTGCTGAAAAGTGATTGTAAGAAGCTGTCCTAAAACTGACTCCTCTGCTTAGCTTGAACTTAACAACCCTACCTTTGCATCAACTCTTCCTCTTGCTGGCTCCCAGGCTCTGTCTCTCAGCCAGACTGGTAGCTGTGGTAGTGGGCTGCAGAGAGGGATGCTGAAAAGGTCTTGAAATGCCATCCTGGCTGGCAGGGGGAAATCAGATACTTGTGAGACATTTGGGCCAGTTCCCCTCCAGTAGCTCACAGCTGTGTAAAGAGTTAATGCTGCATTTGGATTTCCATAGGAGGGAGATTGTTCAGGGTTTGCTTTCCCTTTGGTCTCCCTTCACCTTGTTTCAGTGGATATGTGGTAGGCTTTGAGTCTGTCCTTGAACATGGTTGTATTTCAGCTCTGTGCTCAGCTGCGTTTGTTTCCATGTGGGAGGGCAGAGCGCCAGCCATTTCTCTTCACAAATTTTTCCTGGCTACGGCTCTGCATTCTGCCAGTTTTCTGCAATGCCCCCGTGAGTTTCAGAAGGTCCCCAAATGCCAGCATGAGCAGCAGCTGCTTCTCCAGGAAGGCATCTTCACAAAAGTCTCTCTGTCCCTTTGGCACAGTGGATCGCCCTGTCAGAGTTTATGCCGATGGAATATTTGATTTATTTCACTCTGGACATGCCCGGGCCTTGATGCAAGCGAAGAACCTCTTCCCAAACACATACCTCATTGTTGGAGGTAAGGAGTGACCTTGTTGACATTGGCTGTTTTAAGAGTACCGTTTACCTCTGTCTGTGGTGGTGCATACAGATGACATAGGAGGGTTTTTGTCTTTATGGCCTCAGTGGCTCTCACTGCAGCCAGTTGTCCCAAATGTTGGAGTCTTATTGCAATGTGTTGAGAGTTGGATATGTCTGCAGAAAGATACCTTGTACCAAATGGGTGCTTAAGGAAAAGATTTTTGATCACGCTGTTCTAATTTGACCCCTCTATTTTGTGACGGATACTGGTGAGTTGCACATCTGAGTATCAAAATATATTAGGGACAATTAAGCATCTGCCTATTGAATGAGACAGTTAAAGAATGAATAACAGTCCCTCCATGGCTGGTTGAGCTTTTTGTCACCTGTATCGCCCTGCAAGTCATTCTCCCACTCCAGCTGCCTACTGGGGATTGCTTATGGCTAATCCCAAACAGGTCCCACTAGGAGCGTGGAGATCATGGTGGTTCCCTGGGCATGTGCCTGACCACATGGAAGTCAGTGAGGCCCCATTTCTCCAAATAAAATTTCCCCATTTTGTCTGTTAGGTTCAAAAGTCTTTAGATGATGCCAGGAATATCCTGCTGACTGCCTGAGGGGATGTAGCAGGGGTGTTTCAGCCAGGCCTCCCTCAACAATATAACGGGATTAAAGAAACCCTTTCTTCTGGCTGCTGTAATACGCTGGCCCCTGTCCAGGCAGTGCCTCTGTTGCCCGTACCTTCACCCACCTTAAAGACACATCAGGCTATGCATGTTGTCTATCAGGAGGTGACCTCTTGTCAGGCTGCATAATGATGATAAAGTATCAGAGCTGAGAATACCTTTAACTAGTTTTCTCAATTACCATTAGCTTCCTGAAGCAAAATGAAACTCTGATCCTGTGGTAGAGCAATCATAACGTCTTTGTGTGGTTTGTTTCCTTATCACAGTTTTACTCGCTGCTGAGGGCATTTTTATAGTGGTACTTCTGCATTTTTTGTGTGTGCTACAGTAGTGTCTGGGAGGGGAAGGGAAAGGGTTTTTTTGAAAGCTGAAATAGTTGCTCCAACCTACAAAATGCACTGCGCTTAGAAATCTTCCAGGCAGAAAGACATCCCCATGTACATAAATGTTGTACATCAAACAGGAAAATAACTTCAGGTCAAACTACTAACATGGTTACACAGCTTGCTACATTAACATGTTCTCTGCCTCTGGAAGACTGATGAGGAGGTGGAGGGCAGTGAACTGCTCTCCTTGCACCAGGATCTGAGACAAAAGGCCACTGCCCAAGTGAACATTAACTCCAAGCTGGGAGCAATCTCACCCGCTTTTTATCATCTGTTTGTCTAGAACATAAATATGTCCAATACCAGTGAGACCAGTAGTGCCTTATTTACTTTTGAGTCTGATAACCAAATAAAACTCCTTCCTTCTCAATATGTTACATTACAGATTATGAAGAATTGTCAATTTACTTTCTTGTAGAACGTAATAATTAAGCTAACTTGATTTGCTGTGAACTCACCCTTTATTTTAATACAACTTTCCAAGAACTGGACTGTGGTATGGCATTTTATGAAATTGGAAGCTTAGGGAGTGTGTTTTTTTTTATGGGCTTCAGTTTCCAAGCCTGAGACATCCATAGATTTAAAAACATATTTCTGCCCGGTAGGCCCCCAGGTGCCATTTCATACAGGAGAGTTGTCTCCTGTATTGGCTGGTTTTCTTGATAAGCGTTGTAGGCCCTTGAGACCTTGAGGGCTTGGTGTGTAGATCACCAGCTTGGGCAGAAATTCCCCAAACACCCTGCCTAGAATTGCTTAGGAGTTTAGTGCCCTGCACCGCTCCCTGTTGCTGGTGCTTTGTGACTTGAAAAGCTGGGTTTGAAAGTGCCGGTGCCAGCCTCTCTCAGCAGCTGGCATTGCCTGGTTTAGCAGGGGTGTGTGCAAGGTCCTTTTACTGTAAAGCATTGGGGTAAGTACCTCAGGCTCACTCTTCTCTGCCTGTTTCTTCAGTCTGCAGTGATGAGCTAACCCATAACTTCAAGGGCTTCACGGTAATGAATGAAAATGAGCGGTATGACGCTGTGCAGCACTGTCGCTATGTGGACGAAGTGGTGAGAAATGCGCCGTGGACGCTCACCCCTGAGTTCCTGGCAGAGCACAGGGTAATTCGTGACATCTGATCTGTTCTGAATTTTGATCAGCCTCTGTCTATGGTTGCTGTTTACAGCAAGAATTCATCCATGGGGGTGACCTCTGCCTGAGCAACCCATTTCTGTTGAAACTCCTTAAATATAGAACGAACTGGGTTATGGGAATTGAGTGGGTTTCTTAGGAGACTAGAAGCATTTGCTGAGCTGGCATGTAATATTAAAATAAGGTAGAGATCGTGACATGGTGAAAAAGCCTGAGAAGGTTCTCACTGTTCCAGGAGAAGTTGATGCTGGTTACAGATTGGTGAGAAATGCAGTAAGGAGAGAATAACATGGGTTGGAAGGGATTTCTGGAGGGTGTCTGGTCCAACTCCCTGCTTACAGCAGGAGCAGCTTAGATCTACATCAGCTTCCCTGCAGCAGGAGACCAGGCAAGCTGTCTTGAGAGTCTTTTATCAATTGGTAAGATCAAGGGAAAGGAGTTTCTAACAACTGTTGAACTGCTTTGGGAGGTGAAGAAGTCTCCAGGGGAGTTTGCTTAGTTTACCCTTGTTGCCGTTATCAAGCCATTTCTCTGTGGAGCTTAAAACAGCTGTGTCCTTAGTCCCAGCCTCTCCTCTCTGGTGCGTACTTACAATTGATACGCAATTGCCAGTAGAACTTGGGACTGCTCTGTGTTGCTTTTTAACAGAGAAAAGTGTTTTGCTGTTCTCTGTCACACCCCTGCAGGAAGGTATTGAGGAAAAAGTTACCATCCTTTGACAGAAAGCAGGAGACCTGCGCTTTCAAGATAAAATGCTGACTTGCATTGCTTTCTTAATTTTCAGATCGACTTTGTTGCACACGATGACATCCCCTATTCCTCTGCTGGCAGTGATGATGTTTATAAGCACATAAAAGAAGCAGGTGAGTCCAGGTCAGATTTTCCAGGGCTCCCTGTCGAAGATCTGCTGTAGTTTCTCCTGTGCCCCTGGCAGGATTATGCCTGGAGGTGTGACAGTGCCCCTCTGGGAACAAGGTCTGCTCAGGAGGCTCTGAGGGCAGGGAGAAGCCCAGCTTTGGGTCCTACTTCATAAGGCTAGGACTGTTCGATGTCCCAGGCCAAGCGTTGACCAGCATTAATTCCTACTTCCAGTCGAGTTATTGTGATCGAATTAACAGCCACCTTTTGAAAAAATACTATGGTTTGGCTTACAGATTCTCACAAATGGAGAATCTCCTGAACTTAGCAAAGTGCCTCCTCTAGCTGTTTGCTGTAAAACTCAGTGAGGGTGCAGCTTATTTAAATCTATCCAAACCCAGCCATCAGAGCTTGTTGTATGTCCTCCTGCTACATTGTAGGACCCCTTGTCCTGTCCTTGTCACCACACTATTTTATATGCAGTGGACTGTAGTCAATAGTCTTTAAACCAGCAAAAGTGGAGAGCTTTTCATTAGAAGACATGTATTTTGACATGGTTTTGACATACTTTGGTCTTATTTAGGTCTTCCTCATAGTCCCAGAAAGGAGGAGCTTGGTATTGTACATTCAAGACAAAGGTGTGGTGGTGCGAGAACAGTTAGGAAATTAGCTCTTAACAGAAGAGATTGTTTCCTAACAGAGGTGGCAGCAGCTTTTTGCTGTGTGTGTTGATACAGCTGTCCTGTGCCCTGTTCCCCAACTTTAGGCATGTTTGCGCCAACTCAGAGGACTGAGGGGATCTCAACATCCGATATCATCACCCGGATAGTGCGGGACTATGATGTTTATGCTAGACGGAACCTGCAGCGGGGCTACACAGCTAAAGAGCTCAATGTCAGCTTCATAAACGTGAGTTGAAGTGTGTCTCATCACAAGCTGCGTGAAGCAGAATCTTACAGAGTGTGGAGATGTAAAGTCTTGTCTAGTGATAGGACAGTCCTGCCATATGCCAGTAAAAAGCCAGTCTGCAGAGCTAAGCAGTTGCACCAAACCAGTGTCCTTGGAGTAGAAATTAGGCTTCTTCTGCCCCTGAAACTGCCTCTGGGACCCACCCAGAGGAATTGGGTTTCGCTAATACTGCTCCATTGTCAGAAATGTCTTGGTGATGTTTTACCTGTTGGCAGAGCTGGAGACAGGGTGCGTGGTGAAATGTGTGTTTTCTTGAATTGAATGAAGCGTGGGTTGTTCTTGGCAGCAGCTGCTGTGTCTCAGCTCCCTCCTCTTCCCTCAACCACCTTCTTAAGGTAGAGTCATTTGTTAGGATAAAATCTGATCCTGTTCTCACTGCAGTATTCCCTTCTTGGAGCTGCAGGAGCAGCAGTGCTTGGGTAGGAGAGAAGGATGTGCTCTGATCCTGTGCTGAGCAGCTCTAGCCCATAAGCAGAATGCATGGCAGAAGGCAGTTCAGATGTTGGAAGTGAAGTAGTAAACAACATTTTTTTATTACTCAGATACTATGCCTATTTGTTTAAATACAATCAAATACAAAGATGAAACAGGAGAGGTAATGGCTGCTTGGCCTCTCTTTGGCATGTAACTCTGCCTCTGTTTAAAAACACCCAGCAAAAAGACTTGTGCTGTTGTGATATGCAGAGGGACCTACAGCAGGTTACTCAAATCTAATCTGTATATTGTATAAATATTTCCCTCTTCCATGCACTCCTGTTAAATAGTGCTTATCTCTGTGTTTAGTCTCGCTTTGTGTACTGTGCCAGTGCCTGCCACAAAGCATCTCACAGCCCCGCTATGTCTGCCATTTAGTCTAGGGAAGAAGTGTCACTGAAGTGAAGGAGAAGTGTCACAAGACTAATGGAGATGCTGAGGCTTAAGCAGCAGTTCAGTGTAATAACACAGAGCAGAGGTGATCGCCACTCAGATCTGGTGAGCTGTATTCTGATCCACCGCTTAATGTACAGGAGAAGAAGTATCACCTCCAGGAGCGTGTGGATAAGGTGAAAAAGAGGGTGAAGGATGTAGAGGAGAAGTCAAAAGAATTTGTCCAGAAAGTGGAGGAGAAAAGTATTGATCTCATTCAGAAGTGGGAAGAGAAGTCCCGGGAGTTCATCGGCAATTTCCTGGAGATGTTTGGCCCAGAAGGCGCATTGGTAAGGAGCTGCTCTGGGAAAAGGGGAATGGGGATTTTGGAGAGCTCAGCAGTCATTGTAGGGCTTCTGGAGCCCACAGTCCACAGAGCAAAGGTTTACAGTTTGTTGCAGTGCTCAGTGTGCTGCCAGTCTCCAGACAAGTTTGCCCAAGCCTGGGATGCCTGTTTACAGGAAGCCCTCACCCTTGCCAGCTGGATAATGCCAGTTACGGTTGTAGCATGAAAAGTTCCCGAGTCCCACATGCTGGCCTTTAAGCTCCAGCTTGTGTCCTGCAGCCAAGAGATTGGCGGTCACTTTGTCACTGGCCTGGGATGAGTCTGAAGCTACTTGTTTTTGCCAGACTCTCCTGTGCTGCTGGGTAAATATCACAGGTCCTTCATGTTAGAATTGCTTAAAAATGGGTAATGATTACACTGTATGCAGTTTCCAAAACCAAGAGTGATGCTTGGGCTTTTTCTGCTTTTATATCACACGAAGCATTGAAGGGACACAATAACTCAGAATGCTACACAAGCTGTAAGTAGTGTCCATTTCTGTCACTGTTTGAGCCATGCTAACTGTCTTCCTGCTTCCATCACTAGAAACACATGCTGAAGGAGGGCAAGGGCCGGATGCTGCAGGCCATCAGCCCAAAGCAGAGTCCCAGCAGTAGCCCGACACACGACCGCTCCCCGTCTCCCTCCTTCCGCTGGCCCTTTTCAACCAAGACTCCTCCTTCCTCACCGGCCAACCGCTCCAGGAATGAGTCTGCAGTCACCTATGACATCAGTGAGGATGAAGAGGATTAAGCTAACAGCTGGGATTTGCCATGAACCGCTAATCGCTGAATCCTAAGTCCAGACCCACTGGGGAACTCTAAATGAGCAAGGAGCCATAGGAACAGGGCTGACAGTGAGCACAGGGCCTTGGAGGCACCTGTTGCTCTTAGCAAGGGCTGCTGCCTGGAAGCACATTCAAACCTCCTCTCCTTTCTCCTCCCTGAATCCCCTTTTTATTGTTTACGTTCTAGTGGTTTCCAGGGGGAAGATGGTTTTTATATTTTAAGAAAATACTCTTTTAAAGTGCAAAGAATAGCACTCAAGCGTGGCTTTTGTTTTGGTTTCTTTTCCCTTGTCAAACCTCCAGGCAAGAGGGAGAGTGGGAAGACCCATCTGTTCTTTCCTTCAACTCCTCTGTCCTATTGCCCCCCCCACTCCCAGGCAGTCTCTGTGCTGCTGCCAAACAAAAGACCCCTCAGTTCCTCAGCCAGTGTGACCTCGAGAGCACTCAGAAAGCAACGGTGTAAAGAGCCTTCTGGGAAATAGAGACCGCTTTGCTACGCTGGAGCCGATAGGAATCTATCTGGCAGACCCTGCAGTGCTCGCGTGCCTCTTAGCTGAGCTTCCCAGCATGTTGCAGCGAGGACATGCTGAGTAGGGGGCTACCAGAGTCACACACCTCGTAAGCGTGCAGCATTCATGGCTCCAAATTGTATGGGGACTGCAGGGGAAAGGCCTTTCCAGCTAATCTTAACAAGACTGCTAAATCTTGAGCTAAAATTCGGCCCTCAGTTGCTGTTAGAGAGAAGAGAATGAATCTTTGCTTCGGGGCACTTGCCATCTGTGTGTTTCCTTGGGTATGTGAGGGCCCAGGTAGGAAATGAATGTATGTACTCGTTTGAGAAGTTCCTTGTCCCAGTATGTGGTGTGTAATAACTTTTACTGTCTGTCCAAATGGCCCCTTGACACTGTGCTCTGTGCATGTTTGTCTGTGTTTCAGTTGCTGGGCTCTAAGGGCTGGAGCAGTCCTTTACACTGGTGCCGTGAAGTTGCTGCTATAAGGACAAAACGTGAATTTGTACAGCCAGTTTGCTGTCTGTGTTGGTGTGTGCAGATGGACAGATCAAGGGCATGTTTTACCCCAGTGAAGGGTGCCTATCCCATATGACAGTTACCTGGCTTGTGCAATAAATGCACAAATCAGTGCCCGCTTACTCTGCTCCTTGAGGCAGGCCAGAAAGAGCATCAGAGAGCGCTGCAGCTTTTTAAGATTTTAAATGTGTAATCTGCTCATTTGAAACCATGGTCCAAGTTGTGCCTGCTGTCGTGTCTGTAATAAACGCTGAGCTCTGTGGCCTGCGGCTCCCCACCGGCAGTTGCCCTCACTAAGCTGTATGCCTGTGCACAGAGCAGGTCGGTGCACTCTGTTCTGGCAGCCAGCACTGGAGGGCCTGGACTTGCTATCATGTAGCTGTGAAGCTCCGACTTGCTTTTCTGTTCAGGTTTACCTGTGATATCCGTTGTCTGGGTGGAGCTGCTGGGCTGAGTTGCCTGTATCCTCCTGTGATGCTGGGAGCAGAGGACAGCTCGGAGCCCAGTCAGCAATACTGCAGGAAGGTCTTCAGAGTGGGATGCGGGGCTCAGGGAGCAGCGGGTGCAAGGAGGCAAATTGTCAAGTGCTGCCACAAGCTGTGCACGGTGTGATGCTTCCAGGGGACACAGTGGCCCTGTGGTAGGAGCAGGCTGCTGCTACTTTCTAGCTTTTATCTTGCTGATCCTTTTTCACATTGCACAAAGAACTTGAGAGAGACGCTGTGCTCCTGTTGAGGCCAGAACTAGTATGGGAAAGGGTATTTTGGGGATTCCTCATCTGCCACTTGGACCTCTCTCAGCAGGGATGTGCACAGCTCTGGGAGTGTGACTGGCTGGTATGGACTTTAAGCTGTAAGGAGGAAATAATTGTCACTTGGTGTTAATCCCCTGGTTTACGAGTGGTAGAGCACTTACTTTGTATCACCCACCTTCTCTCTTCCCTCATCTTCCCTACCTTCCCATCCTCACCCTTCCCTCAGTATGGGTGTTGCATTGCTTTCCCAAGCCAGGTCACAAAGGCCAGGCTGCTTTAGAGCCTTACCACTGTTTGAAACACAAGTTATGCAACAGTGTTCTGTAAATTTGGATAACAATGGTGTTTTGGATGGTGGTTTGTGCTGCAGAGACCTTAGCATATTTCGTGGTCTCTCTGCAGAACTTGGGGTGCTTGGCAAGAAGCCAGCCATGGTTTTACAAGTAGCTTGGAATAACAGAGCTGTTTCTTGTAACTTATAATCTCTGCTTCCTCCTTGCACTTAAATTAAATTGGACACTCAAATCCCAGACTAGTCTTTTTTTTTTTTTCTTTTCCCCCCCTTTTTTTCTTTCTTTCCTCCTGGATTGCTGGACCAGCCCCATCTCCAGCACTGCCCTGTCCTATCAGAAATAGGACACAGCTTGATTTTTGGGCAAAACGTGAGCCAAGTTCTCCAGGAACATCTTGTTACCTGCAGATACACCCAGTGCTGCTGCTTCAGGTCTATCCTCCACACCCCTAACCCATCCCACCTCTTCAAAAGAAGCATCCGGAAGAGACATGCTTGAATTAAGCATGAAGTAAGAGGTAGAGTGGAAAAATAAAACTTTACTAGCATGCACTGAAGAACGTGTGGAGTTTGCTGCTAAATCCAGAGGCATCGACTCCTGCGAGACAGCCCTGCCTCAGTTCCTCTATAGATCTGAGGTATGAGGCTGCTGGCACCAGCAGCCAACCCCTGGAAGGGGATTTTCTGATGGCAAAGAACAGCACCAGCAGGGCAAAGCTGAAAGGTGCCAAGGATGCTGGTAGAAGCAAGACATGAAGAGCATGCACTTCAACAGCGTATTGCTTAGAGCTGTAGGAGGTGGTCTTTAACCTTGGGAGAAAATTACGGCACACACCTGCACTGACATGATTTCGTGCATTTTTACAGAGGGTTGGGACTTTATTGTGCAGTCTGGCTCTTGTAACCACAGGCCATGTTGGGGCAGTGAATATCTTTGGCACTAGCGGTGACTTTGGTGGGACTGACCCTGCATCTTGCCCCCTGCCCTCAGGGTGAGCTTCTTGCCACCAAGGGCTCCCTGGTGTAAGGAGGTGGGTTTCCTGCCTGCTGCAGGTAAGGAGCTGGGTCTGGTTGTCTAACGGGGGGGACGAGTCCCATATTTTGCTGCTTGCTTGGGTGTTGCTTCTTGGCAAAATCATGAGGTTGCTGGGTCCCAGCGCTTCTGCTGGTGCCTAGAAAGCTGTGTTGGTAATGACTGTGTACTGTTGCCAGGAGTCTGCCAAAATTGTCAGTCTTATAACGAATCATCAGTGCATCTTCTGGCTGAGCAGTTTTGCTTTGAACACAGCCACCTGCAAAAAGTTCTGAGTCACTTTTCCCCCCTCCTCAGGGTACAGAAAACTTGCTTTTTCCCCAGAATGAATCATTTAAATGTAAGTTGGGAACTTTGGCTTTCTGACTCTGCTTCCCCGATGCGTCACACTGGCCAGAGGTATTAGGGTGGGAGGGTACCAGGGTGCAGGTCAGAGGAAGCTTCTGTGGTGCCTGGCAGCAGGCTCTGGTCTTGGCACTGATGATCTGGCATCTGCTGCCCATCTCCAGCCATGCTGCATCACCTGGTCCTGCCCTCACCTCCAGCCCCGCAGCAGCGGCTGCTTCATCCTGGCTCAGTGTTTGCTGTGTTGGTTTGTGTGGGCCTGTGTGCACACCGTTTGTCTAACTGGCTTGTTCTGGAGTTGGAGTCGGCTTTTATGTTTTGCCAAATAAATGCAAAGTCATTTTACTCAGTGTGTGCCAGATCCCTTCTGCCATCCGAGCACAGCCAGCTCGCTGATGTGCTCTCCTTACTTGCCATCTTAGCAGTGGTTTGAGTAAGAAAATGCTTCAGGGAGGGTCAAAAGATTATCCGGTGGTTTCTGCAAGTCGTCATTGCTCCTGATGTCCATGCCCACCTCTGTTGTAAGTGTAGAGCAGATACTGCCTCCAGAGCAGATCCTGGGCAAGGCAGCATTTATTAATTGCCTGTGTTAGGAAGGTGCTTCAAGGCTCCTTCCTTTGCCGGGTGGCAGGTGTAGATACTCCCACTGTGGTCACTGCTCTGGGGGACGTGTCCCAGGGATGGGCCAGGCCCTTCCACAGGTCTCGGGAGGAAACGCCGCTGCCCTGGTATTGCCTTGGCCGTTGGACCCCAGCCAGCGGCTCCCAGAGGTCAGTGTCAGGGCTGGGTGGTGGGCACACTGTGACAGCCCCGTGCCATGGCTGTGCTGATCTGGGCTCCGTCTTCCTCTCCCTGTGTGGAGTCATCTCCCACCCAGCCTGGGCAAGAGATGATCTGAGCCCAGTCACCAGTGCAAGACTCAAGTACAAACTTATCTTTATTCAGTGCCAGACAAGGGCCCCCTGGGCTGGAGGCAGCTTCATGGATCCCTTTGGCTTTCAAGTTTCAGACCCTTTCACCTCATGCTGAAATGCCTTTCCCCCTCTGCTGCTGGCGGCCTCCCCCGGC